CTCTAAGACATACAAAAGAATGCTTAAAATATCATTCACAATTCAATCATGAATTAATCTAACTTTACCGATATTTCTAATAGTCTAACCCAATATTTTTATGTCACATAGAATTCCTCACCTTAATTTTATTTATAGTTCTACTCGAACTAGTGATTTGATTAACCGACCTGCGTGATTTCTTAACTCGTTTGTTGATGATATTCAGCTCTTAAGTAAACTATAGTACTCCTACACAATTAAAAAGTTTCTTTGTTGTTGTTCTTTGTATGAAATGTGAGTAACTTACGAAAGTAACATGAAACCAATAAAATTAATCTATATAGAATCAACTCTCATTATAAATATGTAGACTATCTTTTACCAAAAAAAATAAATTTTATCACATTCAATTTTATTTAATTATATTATTCTTTTTATTTTAATATTTCTTATCGAGGGCATTTTAAAAAATAGAATGCATTCAACAATAAAACTTAAAATGAAAATAAAAATCTGAATTATAATTATTTTAAATTAAAAATAGTTAAAATAATTTTTAAGTAAAAAATAACTTGCATGTTTGATATTAAAAACTGACTCCACAAACTTTAACTTGCTAAATTAAAGTTTTAGTCCCTCTATTATATTCTATTCATGAAATCAATTCCTCCATTTTATTTGTAAACAATTTTAATCTCCTTCTTTAGTTTTGATTAAAAAAATGATGCTGTGCAATTTTTTTAAATAAGTGCAATGTAATTTGATGAGGGGACACAATAGAAGTGGATTATTAAATTTCATATCTTTAAACTAAAAAATTAAACTACATTTCTAACAAAAATAAAACAAAAAATATAATTTTATAAAATGTGAAACTCAATAAAAACTATTAGTTAAAAAAATATTTTCAACCTATAACACAAAATTTAATAATAATTGTTAACTTAAAGAAGAAAAAATAGAATCAGAAAAGAGAAAACAAAACTAGAAGAAAAAAAATATATGTTCCTTTCTTCCTCCCAAATTCTTTCTTCCTCTTTGGAAGAAAAAGAAAGAAAAAAAAAGCAAATACAGTACCTGAGTGACTCAAATCTATAATCATTCAAACTACCATGCCTCTTTTCTGTTCCATTTCTATCACATTCATAGGCAAAACATAGAAGAGTAAAAAATATGGCAAATGATGATGATGATGATGACCAGCTTCTCGACATGGAGTTAAAAAAACAGTCTCAACTATGGAAAATCCTTCTCCAATCCTCATAAACATGTAACCTATTACATAAGAACATATGCAATCAAAAGGTAGAGTGGTTGACGACACCAATTCAGATCTGAGTCCTAATCATTTTTGTTCAAATCCGATCCTCTTCCATGCTCTAATCATTATACTAATTTTTCTTTCAGATATGAATTTCTATATTGTTTTATATCTGTGTTAAAAAAGATTCTAGTGTTTCTGTTGAAGGATTCGATATCTCTGTTAATTATTTTTTTGTGGTCAGAGGATTAGATGATGAAGATATGGATTTGTGGCATTCAACAAAATATAATTTACTGATGAAACATTAAGAGATATTTTATTATTGAAAAACAATTATTAAAATATAATCTACAATAATGTAACATTAAGATTATGATAATGGAAGAAATTGTAATTATTAAAGATAATAATTAAGACATCCTCTAATATTAATTAGTTAATATTTCTGACATGTGATTTCATGATACTTATATGAAATCTGTTATAATTATTATTTAGAAAAATATATATATATAAATAAATAAATAAATAAATAAATATATATATATATATATATATATATATATATATATATATATATATATATATATATATATATATATATATATATATTAAGTTATATGAAAATGTGAGAATGAATAAGAACCGTCAAATTTAAAAAGAAAAAGTTGAGATTAAATTTTTTGTAATGATTTCTCTTTTCTCTTAATGACATATTATTTAGTTAAAATCACGATTTAATACCAACATTTTTTTTTTAAATATAATGGTTCTTTTTCATTCTCACATTATTATATAACTTATCATTCTTCTATATATATATATATATATATATATATATATATATATATATATATATATATATATATATATATATATATATATATATATATATATATATATATATATATATATATATATATATATATATATATATATATATATATATATATATATATATATATATATAAATGATATGAAAAATATGATCAATAATTTCACATTAAATAAATATATTTAAATGACATGAAAATATGATTAACCAACTCACAATAACTATGTCATATTATTGATGCCATCTATTAAAAAATATTGACACATCATCATTTTTTTTTATCAAAGGGGACTAAAACTGATCAAAAATAAAATAGAGTGACTTAATTTCATGAATGGAGTAATATGGAAGGAACAAAACTATAATTTAACTTTATTAATATCATCTTAAATAAATTACCTATAAATTATAGAAGTAAAATTTATGCTCATTAAAGTGACTTGGTCTCTTTTTAAAGTTCAATAGTTTATTTTGTTATTAATTATTAAATAAAAAAAATAAAAAAGATATGGATATAAAATTTAATTCATTAAACAGCTAGCAAATACGATAGTTTAGCATGTCAATTTATTCTTCAAAAAACTTTAAAAAATACAAATAGAAAGTGAATCTCGTCAAATATCATAATCAACAAAAATACATGTTTTGCTGAATCTATCTGCATATACATTTTTTTATTTAAAAATATGAGATATTTTAAATCTAAAGAAATGTATAGTGTGTAAAATATTCTTTCATTTAGTTGAAGGATGCTAAAAGATAATATCCACATTAGAAAATGTACAAGTGGCTAGCATTGAGTCGATTTCAAGCAAACAATTTCTCTAATTTCTTTTGTTAGCATATTCGATAGCAAACATAATTCTATGCAATTTAACTTAAAAAGAGGTGCAAACTCCAATCTTAATTGAGAAAATTTCCAATAATGTTCCAAAAGTACCCTTAAATATGACATCATAAGTTGATATCCCAATATTTTCTCTTGAAGCTCAACCAATGTTGCACTTAATCCAATTATGACTTGGAAATCATTGATTAACTTGTGTGATTTAGGTGTAGGAAGATGTCGACATTTGATATCAAAACATTTATTAATTTTAAACTCGTAAATTGAAGAGTACATGCGTTCATTGAAAGAAGTAGATGTTCCATTTTGGAATTAAATGATGATCGGAGAGGATGAATTCATAATATGTTGCAGTTATGGTTGTCAAACTCGCTGGTAGACTCGTAAATTCGTACGAGTTTACGAGTCTAGGAAGGAAAATCGAATAGACTCGTATATAGAATTATTTTTTGATAGACTCGACTAGACTCACATAAACTCGTATAGACTGGTGAGTCTATAGAGAGTTTACGTTTCTATAAGTTTTACTGAATTTTGTTTTTTTAAACTCAAAAAAGGAACAAATTCTGCAAAAGATTTAATTATATTTTTTTAAATAAAATCCCTTATTTTTTGGTTGTACGTGAATTAGAAATCCTCTCTACTAGTCTCTTGTTTTAGCAAATTTTCTTCCTCCCTTCATTCTTTTATCGACAGTGTATGTTTGTTTTGTCTCTTGCTTTGTTTGCATTCATTCCCGTAAATCAATCCTTCATTGTGTAAGTATTTTTTTATATGTTTCACTTGGACATTTTTCTTGTTTATTCATTTGCGTAAAGATGATGAATGGATAACTGAAGAACCTAATTAAAAAAAAGTGCAAACTGAAGTTAATATCAAATAAGTTGATGTTATTGTTAAAAATATTGTGGAAGTTGATATTGTTGTTACTAATGTTGTGCAAAGTGGTGGTGGTAGTGGTGGCAATGTTGAGGTTAAGTGGAAGTGGAACTTCAAACAATTTAACTTTGGTTAATTACGAAGAATGTGTTTCATCTGAGATCTGAGGTAGAGTTTGATGATAATACTTAAGATACTGATGACGGTGATGGTGATTATGGTCTTACAGAACGACAATTGCTTAAATACGTTCATATCGCTGGAAAAGCAAAAGGGTCAACCGACCAGGTTTTACTCCAATTACTAGAAATGCGCTTAGATAACATATTTTTTCGATTGGGTATGATTGCGACTATTCCTGAAGCCCGTCAATTAGTTAACCACAGACATGTTTTAGTTAATGGTCGTATAGTAGATATACCAAGTTATCGTTGTAAACCTAAAGATATTATTACAGCCAAGGATGAACAAAAATCGAGAACTATAATTCAAAATTCTCTTAAATCAGCCCCCCGCAAAAGAGTGCCAACCCATTTGATTGGTGGTGATGATTTCATTAGAACTTTGAATGTTTAAAAAATATAATATAATTAAATAATATAATATTTAAATTTTAAAAAAAAGTTAAATATACTTTTTTTTTAAGACAGATATTTTAATATTTGATTCTAAAATGACATAAGTTAGTTATGCCTTAACGGCACAAGTTAGGATTAGCTGTATATTATAATTATAAACATACCTTAACATAGATATCAGCATGTACAAGTACAATGAGTAATTGCTGATTTGAATGGCGTGATTAAGAAACTCACCCACCCAACCCAACAATAAAAGAAGGTCTCAAGAAATGGAAATGTATAAAAATGGAAAAACACCTCTCTAAGGTACCATTTAGAAAACAAAACAAATCATCTCTTGCCCGTAACTATAACCTTCAATTGATGTAGACTTCACCATTCCCTCATATTCAACTTTCTTTCTCGTCTTAAATTATCATTTTTACAATTGTTCCAAATTTCATTCTTAGAATTATAAGTCAAACTTTTAAGATAAAATTGAGATATAGTTTTCAGCTTTACGACAAAGATAGCTTGCATTTTTTGCTATACATAAAACCAAAGCAACATATATATTATATAGCCTCTCTAACCATAAACCAATTGCAAAAATTTTCTTAAATCAACCACACCATGAATATTATTATTAATATTTTCCTCATAACCATTCTCCTTGTAAGAGCAGAATCAATTAGCAGAAGAGATTTTCCAGAAGGGTTTATCTTTGGAACTGCTTCTTCAGCTCACCAGGTACTATTATTACCTTATAATCGAAATAGTATATAAGTTTATAGAAGAAATTGAAAATGAAGTAATGTGTTATGTAATATAGTTTGAAGGAGCTGTTGATGAAGGAAACAAAGGAGATAGCATATGGGACACTTTCTCAAGATTACCAGGTAGAAAAATGAATTATTCTCTCATTTAAGTGGCAGAAATTTTTCTGATTTTTAGGTTTTGAATTATTTTGGTTAGGGAGAATTCTGGATTTCAGTAATGCAGACAAGGCAGTGGATCAATATCACCGATTTCAGGTTACTTGAACTTTACTCTACCTATAGATAACTTGCACCAATTTTATTTTTTATGCTTCAATTTATATAGAATAAACAATTCAGAATAAGCACCGATAAGTAATTAATAATGATATATGAAAGTATATAATAATACAATGTTACACCATAAATATAGAACCAATCATTGAAGCATATTAATATTATAATTCCATTTTAAACAGAATGACATAAACTTGATGAAGGATTTAGGAATGGATTCTTACAGATTCTCCATTTCATGGCCTAGAATTTTCCCAAGTAAGTTACAGTATTTTCAAAAACCTTATGTAATTTTTGTGTTACTTCACTTTTGTAACAGTTTTACAGATGGAACAGGGGAACCAAATACAGAGGGGATAAAGTATTACAACACTCTCATTGATGCTTTATTGGAAAAAGGTTGCAAGATGATTTTTTTATAGAATTTTATCTTAAATTATTAGCAAAAATTTACTGCTAAATAAATAACACTATTTTTTTTCTCTTTCAATTAGGAATCCAGCCTTATGTAACTTTGTATCATTGGGATCTTCCACAAATGCTGGAAGATAAATATGAAGGATGGTTAAGTACACAAATCATGTAAGTTACTCTAATGTTCTAGAGCCTGTAACATTGACATTTTTTCAAAGTATTACTGCTGTCGACGTGTCAATGTCATTGTCATATCTGGTGTGTGTTAGTGCTTTTGTTTTGAGCTTCATATTTATCTCTACTCATTATTGACAGAAAAGATTTTGAGCATTATGCATACACATGCTTCCGAGCATTTGGCGACAGAGTTAAGCACTGGATTACCTTCAATGAACCTCACAACTTTGCTCTCCATGGTTACGATTTAGGGATTCAAGCACCGGGAAGATGTTCCCTTCTTGGTCATATTCTATGTAAGAAGGGAAAATCGTCCACGGAACCTTACATTGTTGCTCATAACATTCTCTTATCTCATGCTGCTGCCTACAGAAGTTACCAGCTACATTTCAAGGTTCCAAACACATCATCTATACAACTAGTACTAAAAATTTATTACTAGCATCACATTCCTTGCGTCTCACTCAATTCGCAGTTGGTTTGATCTCAGTTATTTTTTGTGTTATCTAGGAACAGCAAGGAGGTAAAATAGGGATAGCTCTAGATGCTGTTTGGTATGAACCTATAACCGAACTTGATGAAGACAAAGAAGCAGCTGCTAGAGCTATGGATTTTTCACTTGGATGGTAAACTTACTCATAACATAATAATTATATCGAAATTCGATAGCTTAATTTGTGTCAACTAAGAAATTAGACTAATGTGAATCAGGTTCCTTGATCCTCTTTTCTTTGGAAAATATCCACTCTCAATGCAAGAGCATGTAGCTGAGAGATTGCCACAGATTACTAATGCAACCTCAAACTTGCTTGTTGGATCATTGGATTTTATAGGCATAAACCACTATACCTCGCTGTATACTCGAAATGACAGGACTCGGATTCATAAATTGATTATGCAAGATGCTATATCCGATGCGGCTGTTATTACAACCGGTAACTAAGCTATTGATGAAAACTGTTACTCCTTTTTTTGGTTCATTTCATCATATTCATAATCTTAACCTGAATGGAAGTTTCTGATATTTAGCATACAGAAGAGGAGCTGCAATTGGAGATAAGGTATGTGCAGGAGAAAACCGTCAATGCTAAAGTTGTCTTTTGTTATCGGTTCATGCCGGATTTCTTTTTTAAAATCAACACCAAATTTATCTTTTTTAGGCAGCGTCCAGTTGGCTGCACATTGTTCCTTGGGGAATCAGAAAGTTGATGAAGCATGTGAAATGCAAATATGGGAATGCATCCGTGATCATAACCGAAAACGGTTAGTAGTTTTGCACGCAGAAACTAGTCTTATTTAAGTTCAATAACTACCTACACTTCATATGTTGAAGACATGTGTCAGACACATGTATTTACACTAAATCATCTCAAATTAATACATGTGTCGAGGTTTCAATGTCAGTGTCGATGTCAATGCTTTATAACGTAATCTATAAGTATTGAATACATCTCAAAGCTCAAGTTATAATTTTTTTAAACACTTTTAGATTTTTGACTGCAGGAATGGATGATCCAGCAGGACCCTTTATGACCTTAGAAAAAGCATTAAATGATGATAAGAGGATAAGATATCATAGAGACTATCTCTCAAACCTATCTGCTGCTATAAGGTATGAATGCAAAATTTAACAAGTGTTTGAGTTCATGCAACTGTAAAATCCTTGCATCTTGATATTGAGATAACATGAACTTAATGCAGGGAAGATGATTGCAATGTGAAGGGTTACTTTGTATGGTCATTGCTTGATAATTGGGAGTGGAACTTGGGATATACAGTACGATTTGGACTCTACTATGTAGATTTCAAAAACAACCTTACTAGGATACCAAAATCTTCTGTGAATTGGTTCAAAAATGTGCTCAGATTTAAAACTGAAAAAATTAGTGATATTTGAATTGTTGTCACACATAACAAATAGCCAGTATATATAGCACACATATTTTTAAGAAATGTTAAAAATTCAAGTTATTAAAATATTTTAAGAAAAAATGTTTAGATGGATGTTTAATATTTTCTTATGGTAATAAAAATTCAATTAAACTATAAAAAATAGATAGATTTTTTTAGTGTTGAGAATCTTGGTCCAAATGTATATATAAAAAAAAAACTAGCATTTAACACACCAATAGTATTTCAAAAGACAATGTGAATACATAGTATGATTTGAAAAAAGAGCAACACAATTTTATAAATGCTGAAGTTAACGATGAAACTTCATTAATCTACAAGAAAAAGAAGATAAAAATTGAAAGAATTGTAAAAAGAGAGAAGAAAAATAACATAACTAACTGAAATAGAATTTTTCAATCTCAACAAATTTAATTTCTCTAAAAATTCATTCAATTGTAATTAATTTTTAGTTTATATACACTAATCCAAATTCAAATGCAAACCAAATGAAATTGAAACTAATCAACTTAAATTTTAATTACATTTAACACCATCTCTTAATTCATATTCAAGATTAAAAATCAACAACACCAATTTCATCCCTCAAATTGATGAAGTGTTCAGTTTTGACTGCCTTGATCAGCACATATGCAAGTTGCTTCTGACTGCTGCAGTGAACAACCTCAAACACTCCATTCTAAATTTGATTGCATAAAAAATTAAATTTTGTGTCAATGTGCTTATTTATTGTTAGCTCACAAATTCAACACTTATATTAAAATTAAATATTTGGATAAAATATTAAACTCTTGAAGAAGTGTGAAAGACTTCGAGTGAGAGAGGCCTTCGAGTATGCTGGTTTATTCAAGCGTTTTGGAACTTAGCGAATATTTCTGAATATTAAGGAAACCACCTTCGACCGAGGCTGATGGCTAGTCATTAGTGGAATTTTTGAAATTTAAATAAAGGAGGGAGTAGTTATGCTTTTTCATGACTAAGTAAAACAAGTGGCGCTCATATAGCAAGTGACTACATGCAATATGACACTTGTCATAGACGGGTTGTTTTAGGAGGTTGATAGAAGTCAATTTTACTATTATAAATAAGAGTTCTAGCCATAGAATTCGAGTATGTTGTAATTTACTATTGTACAAGTTACTCGCAAAATTACTCAAAGTATCCGAGTGTAGAGAAACGCGTTCTAGGAGAATGTATGTCATGTAAACACACCATCTTTACTTTCAATGAAACTTATTTTACTTGTTTTATCTTTAAGAGTTTATCTTTACTTCCTTGCAATTTACATCTTCTCTGCATTTTGCTTCCCTTTGTTTAAATGTTTTAAAGGTTCTTTACTTTATTCCTTACAAATTCACGTCCTTTTATTTCAGTCGAGCCTTACATTTACATTAAACCTGTCCCTCAAAACACTGTTGAAGTGGATAGTTTAGACAATTTCTTTCACATAAAATTTAGCACATGTCCTAGGATCAATCTGATCGATCCTGTGAGTCACCAAAGTTAGATTTGGAAGATCAGCAGTTGTTTTCCAATTTTCACGGGAAACACTTATTCCATGCAGCACTAGATTATCGACAAGACTTATGGCCGATTTGTTGTTAATCATCAATTTGTCTAGTTTGCTCACCTTGAACTTTAATTCCTGCAGTACATTCATAAGCCAAATAGCCTGACACGCAAACAAAGTACCAGCCATGTATTCTGCTTCACAAGTTGGCAATGCAACCACTGGATGCTTCTTGGAACACCATGAAATGGGAGCTGCTAGAGACATGAACAAATACCCTATAGTACTCCTTCTGCCCACTTTGTCATCACACTAGTTTGAGTTTGAATAACATATCAGCTCAACACACAACTACAAAACGCGCAAACAACAACATCAGGTTTATAACGAATTCATATACACCGTTATAATATGTTAAAAATTTTGCGCCTTGGAATTATAAACAGTAATTTAATGACGGCTGTCTTAAAAAACTGTAGTAATAAATAATGTGTAGCAAGCTTCGATTCCCAGCAACTACATTTTTTTTTCATTTTTTATAGTAAATTAAGTGTGTGTCACTTAAGTCCATTATTTAAAAAATAAATTGTAAATGATTTTACAACGGTTATGTAAACCAACCGTTGTAAAATTTGAAAGTTATTTAACCATGATTTTACAATACAACCGTTGTAAATTTTGAAAATTGCATCACGGTTTTTCTTTCTAACCGTGATGAAAAGTGATAGTTTTTAGTATATAAGGAAAAGTATATATAGTTTAGTACATAATAGTCGTTTCTCTCATAAAAGAAAACGCTAACATAGCTTCACTCTTCTCTCTCATAAGATAACCCTAACATCCATGTCACTTTTCAAACATACTTCAACTTTCAGATACATCTTCAGATTCGTCTTCACCAATCGCTAACTTGAGGTTCGTTTATTAAACTTATGTTTCAATTTCGTTTACGTTTCTTGTTTAAAATGGGTTCTCATTTTTTCAGATTCGTCTTCACCACCTTAACAAGAGAAATACATATGGTTTGTGTAGCTATGAAGAGAAATACAAGAAGTGTGAAGTTATTGTGTAAACTTTATTCATCTTATATTTCTTATTCAGAGCTTCATAAGCTAGATGAACTTTAATTTGTTCGACATCCACGATTAATTTAAAAAAAGGTGTATCTTGAAACATTACATAATATCTTGTGTTATTGTATGTTGTTGATTAATGTGGTTGTTGTTGATAGATATGGTTTGTGTAGCTATGAAGAGAAATACAAGAAGCATGAAGTTATCGTGTTAACTTCATTCACCTTATACTTTTTCTTCATAGCTTCATAAACTAGATGAACTTCATTTGTTCGACATCCATGATTAATTTAAAAAAAGATGTATCTTGAAACATTAACGTTGTTGTTTTTGTTTATTATATCTTGCGCTTTTGATCCTTTTGAATTGTTTTTCGTCCTCTTTTCCCCAGCTTCTTTAAGTTTCCATCAAATTCTTCCATTAAAATGTCTCAGCAGTTCGGTTGTAGCCATGGAAGTAGTTCCTCAAGTCATTCAACGTACGTATGCAAGTGTGGTCTCGACGCTCCGTTGATGACGACATGAACCGATTTGAATATAAACCGCCGTTTTTATGACTGTGGGATGTATAAGATTCAAGGATACAAAAAATTCTCTCATTTTGCTTGGTTGGATGGGGAGATGGATCCTAGGGAAAAACAAATAATTTCTTCACTAGTAAAGAACTTGAATGAGAATAAGAAGATGGTTAACACCTACAAAGCCAAGGAGGATGAATTGAAATTAAAGGTGAAGATTCTGAAGAAACAGTTGAAGATTACCTGGATTTTTTATTTGTACTGTTCATTGCATTTGTTGTAACAACAATGACGAAATAAGTTATAATTGATTAGGTTTGTATGTTGACTGATGGTGTAATGATTGATATATTTGTTACCTTGGATTCATGTGATGATGTTATGGTGTATCATATATGATACAATTGTTTGATATTATGAATATGATACAATTATGATTATTAAGATAACTTTACCACAAATGTTAAAAAATAGGATTAATTACATTAATACAGGTTTAAAAATGGATTAATTATAAAAGCAGGATATTATTTGTTAATTCTGCAGAAAATTTAACAACGGTTATTTATCATAACTGTTATAATATCTCTTGCGCTGACCAGAAAAAAATACTTTATCACAATGGTCTTTTGGAAAATCCGTTGTGATAGGGCTCACGCTTTCCAATTTATTACAACAGTTATTGGGCCGTAATTGTAAGTATCATATATACAACGACACTCTACATAGCAACGCTTGGGCTCGCGTGATTATATATCTTTCTCAACCATTATTAAATAGGTTTTCCATACTAGTGACATCATCTGACACTCTAGATGGAAACATAATTCCATGTCTCAAAGTTCTCTTTACATACTTGAGTATCTTGACTGCAGCTTGGTAATGTGACCAATTTGGCTTACTTATAAATCTACTTACCATTCCAACTACATAAAATATGTCAGGTCTGGTGTTACGCAAATATCTTAGAGAGCTAATCAACTATTTGAGAGTTGTAGCATCTACTTCCTCACCATGAGCATCAGAATCTAGTTTGTGGTTTGTCTCTGCAGGTGTGAGTGAACACTTACAATTTATCAACTTAAATCTCTTTAGCAACTCAAACTCATACTTTAGTTGGTGCATAATGATTCCCTTATCAGTGTGTAAAATTTTCATCCCTAGAAAATATACCATGTTTCAAAGGTCAGTCATATTAAATGCTTTTATCTATATCCTTTTAAACTTGTTTATCTCAGAATTACAGCCCCCTGTCAGTAATATGTCATACACATAAAGATATAATAAGACCATATTGCTATTATAGGTATGCTGCACATACACACCATACTCCATTTCATATTTTTAGAACCCCTGATGTTTGAAAAATGAATTACTTTCCAGATTCCAAGCCCTTGGAGCTTGTTTATGTTTGTACAAGGCTTTATGTAGCTTGTACACCATCCCTTCTTTATTCTCTATCACAAATTCAAGAGGTTAATACATAAACTTCTTCTTGTAATGGGCCATTTTGAAAAGTTGATTTTAATGTATCAGAGACCAATTCCAATTTGCAGGTATAGCAATAACCAGTCTTATGGTTTCATGACTAGCTACAAGCGTAAACACTTAAAAGTAGTCTAAACCAGACTTTTGTGGAAATCCTCTAGCTACTAACCTTGTTTTGTGTTTGGCAACTGAACCACCTAGCTTCAACTTTATCTTAAAAACCCATCTCACTCTGATGACTTTCTTATTCTTAGTGTTAGTTCCATGATTCTATGATTGTCCATGGTTCTATGATTGGCTAAATTTTGGTAAAACATGATTATGCACTGATGTTAAGTAGGATGTTATAACATCTCCATCTGCTGTGGTGATAGAACTGTTGTGGTGTGTTTTAATGTGAAAATCATGCTGAATGTCGTGACATCCATCTGTTGTGGTGACAGAACTACTATTATGTGGTTTAATCAGAATGTCATTACCAATGTCATGACATCGCTGTCTGGTACAGCATGAACTGGTGACAGAACTGCTGTCATGTGTTTTAAACAGGATGCCATTACCAATGTCATGACATCACTGTCTGGTGCAGCAGGAGTTGATGACAATACTGCTGTCATGTGTTTTAAATAGGATGTCATTACCAATGTCATGACATCGCTGTCTGGTGCAGCAGGAGCTAGCAGGAGCTGATAACAAAATTGTTGTCATAGATGTCATACTGAATGTCATAACATCGTTGTCTGGTACAACAGGTGCTGCTGTTTTATATCACTTGACAGAAATGCTTTGGATATACCTCATCAGTATGTGCAGGCCAAAGAGATTCATTAAGAACAAAGAGCAGATTTAATTGGTGTTCATAAAAAGGATCTTTGAGGCTTTTTAGGAAACTATAATATGCTTGTTTCTACTGTTGTGAAGAAGATTCTGCAGAAGTGTTCAGCAGGGTGAGTTTGGTCAGCTAAAAACAAAGTGTGTTGGATGTTATTACCAATGTTATGACATCAAACGTATGACATCAGGTAGCTGACATGCACAACAGGCATGTTGGTTTTCTGTTATAATGCATGAGTAAGCTCGGGCTAGATTTCATGAGACTTATTAGGGTTCCCTAGTTATCTCAGGCGAGATTCTAGGCAGTTCTGAGTATATCATGAAACGCCTATGACCTATTTGAAAGCACCTTGAATTGTGGAAATTAGTTTTACTTTGTTAAACCTAATATTTGTTACTTGTGACCAGCCCAAGCCCAGTCTGCATTGCTATAAAAGGAGGCGCAGAAGCAAGGGAAATTAAGCACTCACAACAAGAAAAACTTGAGTGTAGAAGTAAGGTTTAGGATTTTGAGAGTCCATTGTGTGTGACTTTGTAAGTCACCCTTTGTATCTTTGGATATATTGTGGTAGACATATTTGTGAGTGAAGAACTTTGTTCTTCACGTGTGTTTAGGAGTCTTAGGATTCCTTGTGTGCCAAACAATTGTATGCTGTATAATTTCTTTGGTTATTGTGTATGAATAGGTGTATTCATTGTGTCACTCAAAGCTGTTAAGCAAGAGTGTGTGTCTCTTGATCAAAGTTGTGAAGCAAGATCAAGGTGTGTTTGAAGAGTGTCTTCATATTGTAATTGTGAATTGATTATCACTGCGGTGATTGAGGGGGAGTGAGTGGGAAACTCTGGTCTAGTGGTCTCTAGGCTAAAGTGTCATTGGGTAGGTCTTAAGTGAGGAGTGAAAACGAGTTGTTTGACTCTGAATTAATTCTACTAATAGTGAATTTCCTCCCTGGCCTGGTAGCCCCCCAGATGTAGGTGTGGTTGACACTGAACTGGGTGAACAATTACTTGTGTTATTTATCTTTAAGCATTTACAATTCTGCACAATTTAAATGGTTAAATAAATAGTCTATCTGCCTGCTGATGTTACAACAGATGCCATGACATTGGTCATGACATTGGTACAATTTAAAGTAATTTAAATTGGTCATGGTCTGTCCGCGTCCTTGTTGAGCAGAGATCAGTGTTCTTGGGACATATGAGATCTGCATACCAGAATTTCACTTAGGCAGAACAGTCAATTCCCATGACTTGATTCTTTTAATTGCCTCGAGTTTTTTCTTTATGGAATTCATCCATACTTTCTTCTTGAGTTCCTCACTGATGTTGATAGATTTAGAGTCCACCATCATGGCATATTGTATGATTTCCCCTTTACTGTCAATCTCAGTATCGTTCAACAACTCAAAATCTGCAAGTCTCCTGGTATTCTTTGTGGCTTTTGAAATTGTGCAAGTTCACCTTCATAAGCAGGTCCACCATGATAGGAACAACCACCTTCAAAAGGTCCACCTTCAGAGGCTAAATTATCTTTATAGGTTGGATTACCTTCACAGTTAAAGTCACCTTCAAAGTCAGGCTCACCTTCAGAGGCAAAATCTTCTTCAGAGGTAAAATTTCCTTCTGAGCGTAACTCTGGTGTTGACACTACACTAGAGTTAAATTGAGATTTTTTCCAATCCCATGTTTTTTACTCTTTCACTATGACAACTCTACTGACTATGATTCTATTGGTGATTGAGTAATAGAGCTTATAAACACATGTGCAGTGGTAACCCATAAGTAACATGACTTGCCTTCTGTCATTTAATTTCCTTCTAGTAACATCTAGGACATGTTTATAATATACACAACCAACCACCATGAATTGACTCACACTTTGTTTTCTTCTAGTCTAATTCTTATAGAGGAACTACTTCCTTTAACTTCTTTGTTGGACAGCCGTTGAGCATATATACTGACGTGACAATTGCTTCACCCTACAATGTGTGAGGTAGATTCTTTTCTTTCAGCATGTTCCTTATCATGTCAAGCAGAATTCTATTTCTTCTTTATGCAAAACCATTGTGTTGTGGAATGTATGAAGCAATCACCTCATGCTCAATTCCATGTTCCTAACATAAGTTCTTGAACTCTATTGAATTGAACTCACCTCCACCATCATTTTTTAGGATTTTCAACCTTTTTCCAATTTGACTTTTAGCCTTCACTTTGAACTTCTTGAAATCACCAAACACCTAATGTTTGAACTTTATGAGTGCTACCTATGTCATTCTTGTGAACTCATCCATAAATGATATAAAGTAATTATTTCCTCCAAGTGAAGGTACCTCAAATGACTCACATACATCAGAATGCACCACACCCAAGGAAAAAGTTGCTCTTTGAGGCATGTCTGATGAGAATGTCAATCTATGTTGCTCGCCTCTCATGCATATATCGCATTATTTTTATAGTGCCACAATCTTTAGAATTCCATGTACCAGATTCTTTGAACTTAGATGCCATAAACTTCTGAAGTTCAGATGTCCCAATCTCTTGCGCCACAAATCATTTTCCCTTACCACACTAGTTGCACTAAGACATTGGGCGTTTGTTGTTTCAACATTCACCTTGAATGTCCCGTTTCTTTCCAGTGTAAACTGCATAATCAACTTTTGATCACAGTCATACAACTTCAAGAGATTGTCCTTCATGGTTACTAAAAGCACTTTTTTCAAGCAGCTGACATACACTCATCAAATTGCTATTCATGCCAGAAACATATTGTACATCCTTAATCAATATAGTTTTTCCATTCTTCAATCTTACCTTGACATTTTCCATTCCTTCAACATTCAAATAGTCACCATTAACACATCTGATCTTGGTCTTTCTACCAGAATCAAAATGAATAAGCTATTACTTGTTTCTAGTTAGCTGATTTGAGCAGTTAATGATAATATACCATCAGTCCACCATTTTCACCTTCATTTTCAGATGCCATTAATAACATAGGTCCATCCTCAGAATCTCCTCTGGCTATGTTGGCTTCTTCATCATTGCTTTCCTTGTTTGACCATAAATCAACAACAAAATGGCCAAAGTTGTTATTGTTGTAGTACTGAACCTTTCTCTTATAATCTAACAGAAGCTCCTATGGATTCTGGGTGTGTTTGAAAGAAATATGAAACATCTTTTAAAATATTTCTATCAAAAATATAGATAGAAGCAAGATGACTTCCATGATCTAATGAGTATGTAGAAATAACATAGATGCATTGGTTATGTTCCACCAAAGACCTTGATTTTTTTGTAGTAGTGTTATGTCCACAAGTTGTAATCATAGGGGCTCAAAAATTACTATCCGAACCTGACTCTAGATGAACTTCGCGCTACCCAACCCTAAACAGACATTTCTTAAAATAAAAATAAAAATAAAACCCCATAATATTTATTATTAATGAAATTAAAAATTATACTATTTTAAACATAATACATTTTTAAGTACTATGTTAACTTTTATAAATACTATAATGTGTTTTTAAATACATGTCTAAATTGTATAAAATAATACTAGAATATTTAACACAAGAGAAATTAATAAAATGCGAGAAAATAGTGTTAATTATATTAATGTATATGATTTAAAAGAGAAAGATTGAATAGAGAGATAAAATTTAATGAGGTAAGAAAAAATAATATATTATTTTAAAGTAAGACAAGTTGATTATGAATATATATTTTTTAAATTTATAGCTATGTTGGTCTAATGAGATTACCTATGACCTATAGAGACTAGTCCTAATGGGTAACAATTTTTTAAGGTGGAATTAAAATAACTTTGAAAAATATGGACTTCAAATGGTATTTAGGTTATTTGACCCGACAGGATATCAGTACCCACCCACCAGTGTTTTTTTCTTGTTAATATAAATAAAAATCGGCAATAAGTTGTTTCCGTTATTCGTCTTTCTTCTCTCACTACCTCTCTCCTTCAACCCACCAAGGGTTTTACATTTTTAAGCTTAAACCCATGGCTCTGACGATGAGAGCAGCGGCCGCCGCCGCGCCCCGCGGTTTGCGCCGCTTTTTCTGTTCCAACCCAATCCCGTCTTCTCCCACTTTCCCTTTCACTTCAACGCAGCCTTCGGGAGCTACCTCCGCTCGACAGATGGCGGATCCCAACACCAACCTCTTCGTCTCTGGTCCGTCCTCCCCTATTTTTCTCTTCTTCTTACTGTGTATTTGCTTATTACTATTTATTATTATTATTATTATTGCTGTTGTTGTTTTTAGTCGGTGGCAGCTATTATGCTGAACTATGAATTGAATGTTTAGGTTTTGATATTGTTAGTCGTATTTCATGTTTTGATTAGGTTGGGGTTTAATTTGATGTATGTGTTCCCGTTTCAATTAGATTGTCTTGTTATGTATATATGAATCTGAATTTTCAAAGAAATAAATAATAGCGGTAAAGTATACTGGATTTCTTCTTTCTCTGTACTGCTACCTTAAATAGTTTAAGTGATTTGTTTTTATATGTATGTGGATTCATTTCAATTCAAAAGTAGGGTCCTTAATCTTACTATCTGTGAGAGTCATAGAGATTAACATTGCGAATGTACACATGGCGGGGATAAAGTAAGTGTAGCAGAGACAAAAATGATGATGTTGTGTTGGATGTGTGGTAAGACTAGATAAAATAAGATTAGAAATGAAAATATTGGAGAGAGTATTAGGGGTAACATTTATAGTAGAAAAGATGATGGAAAATAGACTTAGGAGATTTGGATATGTATTGAAAAAATCTGTAGATTTTGTGGTAAGGAGAGTAGATTAGATGGAGAGAAGTCAAACGATTAGAGGTAGAGCAAGACCTAGATAAGCTATAAGAAGTTATTAAGAAAGATTTCGAGATTAACCGTTTTGATAGAAACATGGTCCTGGATAAAACATTATGGTGGAAGTTGATCTATATAGTCGACCCCACTTAGTAGGATAAAGCTGGTTGTTGTCATTGTCAATTACTATTGTTTTAAGATAAACAATTTCACTGTTGAAGGACTCTTTTGTTGAAGGGCTTTTTTGCAAGTTTGTTTGTGAATAAAGAAGCTTTTGAACTGATTAACTAGAACATACATTAAAAGAGTTAGAATTGGAAACTCTTCTTTTGTATTGCAATAGATATCAATGGTTACTTAGAAACAAGTGGGACTTTAAGTTCTTAACTCTATCTAAACAAATGGCCTATAAAGTAAAGATTAGACATATATATTATAACCTACATAAAGCCCCTAGGAAAGAACATTTCCTATCCCTTGCTTAAGTGTCTACTAGTACTCATAAATCATGAGTACCATCATTAAACACAAAAGAGACCTACTACAGTTTAACAGGAAAAATTTCTTAGTTGCAATCTAAATCACTCAAGATTAGAGTGGGGTGCGCATTTTTTGATAACATTGACTCACTTGCTATTTTATTTTAACCCACACATACTCCAAACTAATTGGCATGGTGACACCAAAGAGATTTTACAGTAAAGCGCTAAAATCATTTGGTCTGAAAGCGATGTTTCCTCTCTAAAATTGCCATTCATGCAACAATTGTCCACTCCAATGCAATTTGTCACTTGTAATAGTCAGTTGACTTTGGATTTTTTATGTCTTAAACTTTCAGGGCTTAGCAAACGTACTACCACAGAGAGACTGCGAGAAGAATTTCAAAAGTTTGGTGAAGTGGTTCATGGTTTGTTCTTCATCCCTAATTTCATTTTAACATCTGATCTGTTCAATGGTTTATTGTTTTACTATGTAATGATGTCTTGAAAATCTATTATGAAACCATAATGGTTTTCTGTCTACCAATCGCAGCAAGGGTGGTAACTGATAGAGTCTCAGGTTACTCCAAGGGGTTTGGTTTTGTGCAATATGCTACTTTAGAAGATGCTGCCAAAGGCATTGAAGGCATGGATGGCAAGGTAAGATTGTTCAACCATTATGCTTGCACCTGTAAAAGACTGAGAAATGTATCTCTTTCAGAACATTGTTGTCTTAGATTTGTCTCTGCATTTGTATTTTTAAGCAAAATATGAATTCAATATTATCCACATAAGATAAACTTAATATATACCTACACCACAATAGAACATTGAGCTCTCATTACTTGACATTGCCGACAATGCATTATGTATTTGCTTAATCATCATGTACTTGTAAACTCATATTTATTGCGCTAAGCTGAGATAAATATGTATTGTTTCACACAACTATTACTGCAAGATTTGTTGATGCTGTTATTGCTTTAATGAATTTTTCGTAACCTTGTTCTTGTTCATGTATAGAAAACCTTTCTGTGCAGTGTATGTATGGATTGCGGTGAGTTTGGTAGAATCATGGTGGCTCACCATGATTTTGACAACCCCACCGAAATACCAAACATAAGCTGATGCCATGATTGTTCTTTGCTTTTCTTACCTAACTTTCTATTGGAATAATGCTGACTAGTATGTTTTCTGTCAATACAGTTTTTGGATGGCTGGGTTATATTTGCAGAGTATGCAAGACCAAGACCCCCACCGGGAGAAGCTGTAAATAATATGACTAAACAGTATGGCCGACCTTACTAGTTCATGCTCATTCGAAACATTTTTGTGCTTTATTGTTATATGTTTGACATTGCAAATCACAGTATTATTTATTTAGACAATGGCATGGATGATGATGCCTAGGTGGTCTTAAATTATTGACAAATATTTCACTGTTGATAAGGGAGGATGATATGATATTGTTGTAATACAGATTTGTCTTTGATATGCCCAGAACACTTCTCTAGATTACGTTCTATACACTTGCTTTTGTTATATACTACCTATTTTAAAAGTGTTACTATCAAATGATTTATCATTTACATAAAAATTTACAACAAATGTCGAATATTATTTTACTGTGACTTGATCCTTGCCTAAGAAGTATGAACAAAAAAAAGAACATATCCGTTTTTTCTAGCATGTGTTCTGTTTTAATGTGTGCTTCATGAAATAATAAAAAAAAAGAACATATCCGTTTTTTCTAGCATGTCTTTTCTATTCTTCCCCACCCTTTCTTCTTCCACCTGTCCCCACAATCCTTCGCACCCACCTCCTACTTGTATGCTCCTTAAATTTGTTGGGGCAAGAAATACTCGTGACAATGGAGCATGCATCAACAATGTAGATGACAACTTCCGAAATTCTCACATCACTGGCTTCTACTACGTCACTGAATGTTCAAGCTCAGTAGAAATTTTTCAAGTGCGAGTTTGGTTTGACTTGATGTAGAATTGATTTTTGAGTGATTCTAAAGTGTTTATTTTTAAAGTAGAACTGATTTTAGAATATAAATTTAAACGTGATTTTTAAATACTAAAATTTATTATTCAACTTATTTTTAAATATTAAAATTTACTATTCAACTCATTTTTACATGAATATGTCTAAATATAAATCAATTTTGTTAAATTCTATCTTGTTTAAACAAATTCTATCAAATTCTACATTGTCATAATCAATTATGCTCATCGTCAATCTAATTACAAACACCAAGGGGGATGATAAGACTTAGTATATGTTTTAAAGTTGGCCGAATATCATTTTTAGTCTCTTAACTTTACTTTTAAATTCAAATTAGTCTTTTATTTTTTCCCATATCAGATTAGTCATTTAACTCTTAAAACATGTCATGTTAATCTTTTTTATCTAATTAGCGACGGAAAAATTTAAAAGTTGTTCGATAAATTTGTCGTTAATTAGATAAAAAGAATTAATATGACACATTTTAAGAATTAAAGGACCAATCTAAAAAAAATTAAAGAATTAATCTGAACTCAAAGATATAATTAAAGGAGAAAAATGATAGGTATAGTTAAGGGAGAAAAATAATATTTTGCCTTTAAAGTTTTATTAGATTTAGATGGGCACCTATTCTGAGTTTTGGCATATTTGTTTTATTATGCATGACAAATTGATATTTCTCGTTTATGTACTTTTTGTTCGAGTAGAGTTTGTTATGGAACATAGTTTAGATATAATGTATAACTTGTTTGTTGGTTGAAAATTGCGATTATATCATGTTTTCTTTAACTTGAATGAGGTATGTTCGCCATTGATGCGACCTCTGGGTTGTAGAACATTTCGGAGGTGTATCTCCGAAATTGTTCAGTGTTTTATATATTTTAGGAAATTTTGGAGATGCATCTCCAGAATTATAATTTAAAGTATTTCTGGAGATACATCTATGAAATTGTTCAACGTTATAGTTTTATGGTGTTTTCGGAGATGCATATCTGAAATTTTTTGTAGTATGTTTTTTTTTTAATTTTAAAATTTCTTGTTTATGTGTGTTGTTTGCGTGCATTAATGATATGTCTTACTTTATCTTACATGCATAATGGTTGTCAGGTTTGATAGACTGAGATATGGCAGGGTTGCTCAGCACGCATCTGTTCGACGGGAGCGGAATCAGCAGGTTCTAGAGGCTCCTGCTACCTCTAGGCAGAGACATCGACTTCTGAGGGGCCGTCTACTCCTGGGGCTTGTGCATCACCTCAAACCACTCCACATTCTTCTTCTTCCTATAGGAGACGAGATTCACCATATGACGCGTCACTTACTCCATCCTTCTGCAGGCTTCAGAATTTATCAGTGCCACCTCCTACGGATGATACTACTATTCCATACCCACCTCTCACTGTTGATCTAGTGCCACCTCCGAAGGATGAGGCTATTGCAGATGCCGAGCCAAAGGGTTTTGGAGGAGGTCCATATGATTTCTCTTTACTTCCTTTGTATCTAAACCTACTGCTAGACATATCTGGGACAGAGAGGTAACATTAGTTGAAATATTGATTTTTTATGCGTGAATTTTAATGGCTGACATTGATTATTTTTTACATTGATCATTACTAACATTAATTATTTTTGGATAGTTTCAGGAGTATGACCCCCAGAAGTTTCTTAATCATGGAAGGAAGATTGCTGGCTTGCCTTGTAACACCCCAAATTTTAATTGAAATATGTATTTAATTTATTTAAATAAAAATATTCGTATTTTGGTAATTTTCGGTGGTTGTTGTGAAATATTGAGAATTATGAATTTTAAGTTATTTATTTAAATAATAGTATATAATATGAATATATTGGTATTATTATTAATTTAAATAAATATAAGTTAACTAAGGGCAAATTGGACAATTGAGGAGGAGTTAGTGAGGGTAATATTGGAAATGCCCAAATTATAGAGTGATGATCAAGATAATAGGAAAAACACCACTGAATACCTGTTCATGCTTGGATCAACACCAATATCTTAGAGTTAAAAGAAGCAAGAGATTGTTGCTTTGTCCTCATGTGAAACAGAGTATGTTGCAACCTCTTATGCAACATGTCAAACATTTTGGTTAGGCATGTTGCTTGAAGAACTGGACATTGGTCACTATGAAAAAATCAAGTTGCTTGTAGGTAGTCACTCAACCATAGATCTAACAAATCATCCAATGAGTCATGGTAGATGTAAGCATATAAAAATGAAGTATCACTTTCTTGGAGATCAAGTTAGCAAAGCAAATTTAACTATTGATCATTGTAAGATAGAGTTGCAATTAGTAGATATCTTGACAAAACTCCTAAAATAAGTAAGGTTTGAAGGTCTGAAGAAGTTAATGAGAATGAGAAACATGACAAATATTAATTAGGAATGATATTTTGGTTAATTTAGTTTGCTTTAAGGATATACCCGACCGAGAATATTAGTTTTAGTTAGACAGACTGTTTTAGGATATATTCGGGCGAGTATATTATTTTAAAGATATACTCAGATGGGTATATCAGACAATTTTTAGTCCGTTTGATTTAAATTGATTTGGGCGGCTAGTGTGTTTATAAATATCATCCATAATTGTAATTGAAATAGAGAAACATTAATGAACTCTTTTCCCTCAACTATTCTATAATTTTCTCTCAATTTATCATAATTTGTCAAGTAACTTGTGATACAAATTACCCAACATAACCAATGTTGTTTGAATAAGTCATTTTAATGATGGAACATAATATTTTAAAAAAGTTTAAAATAATTTAGACAAAATTCATTGTTTGGATAAAAAATATGAAAGAATTTTTAAAATGATGAAAATATATGAAGCATTTTTTCCAAGTTAAATTTTATGATTTTGAAATGATGCCTAAAATCCAACAATTTTTTAAATTCCTCTCATACTCCATAAAATTTGAATGTCAAATTGATTGATGTTATTATTTCAAATTTTGCATGTTGGTCCCTATATTTTCTATAAATTTAAAATTGACTCTCAATTTTCTTAAAAAAATTTCAAATTACTTCTTAATAATTTTCAAATGTTACAAATTGTCCTATTATATTTTAAATATTGCAAACAAATTCCATTTTTAAATTTAAAATTTAGCCCTAAAACTTTAAAATTTATAAAAATTGACCCCAAAAATCTAACAATGATTTATCTTATACTCTATTATTATTTTTAAATAAATGAATTTCAATTAAATCTTTAAATTCTTTAAAAAATTTCAATTATCACATCCAAACGAGTATGTTTGACAATACTATATTTCATGTTTATAATTTAGACTTATAAATGCTCATATGTTTAAGAAAAACTATTTGATAATTATCATTTTTTAGGAACTTATAGATTATTTTAACCAATTTATAGTTTATTTTGATAAGCAAATTTAAAAGCTTATAGTTTATTAATTTTATCTCAATTTTACATTGACTAAACATTTTTTATGTTTCATATTTATATATTAGTTTAACAACTAATTTTACTAACTAGTTTATAAATTATCAATTATAACAGTGCATTCGTTATAAACTAAGTCATCCATTATTTTCTTTTTACTTATCTTTAATTGTGTTTTGATGCTTTAATTGTTTATTTGATTCAACTTCTTGAGACATCAATATTAATTAAAAAATTATGCAAATTGATTTTATTTGTAGAATTAATTTTTTTAAAAAATTTAATTGTTATGCATGATAATGTAAAATTATTTTACACTCTCAACTAATCATTCTCGTGTATCCCGTCACGTCAAATTATAATTTTTAAATTAACAGTATGACATGACAGATTAATAAATTTTTATTGTTTAACCGTGTAAATCAGTACCAATTAAAATCTTTTCTAAGTGTATAAATTAAAACTTTTGATTCTAAAATTAATTTTTATACATGAATTTATAATTAAATTTACTTTTATATCTATAACTATATATAAAGGGGATACAACTTTTTGGTGTGGCCTATTTTTGTTCCACAATTACCCTTCATTAATGCTTAATTTCATATTTTTATTCCATATTTACCCTTTACCTTAATGCTTAATTTCTCACATGATTTATTTAATAATAATACTAAATAATAACTGTAAAAAATAACTTCCCACTATTTCCAATAGTCCTTCCTATTATTAAGGTTCATACTAACTCCTCTATGCAAAGTGAGTCTCTATCAAAGCCATTTACAAACTATTTCTCTCAATTTGTCAAGCTATTTGCAAATTAATCATATCCCTGTCTCCCTTTCTTTGTCAAACCATGCATACCTCCATTAT